AGCCGTGGCAGAGAGATGGAGAACTGATGGGGCATTTGTGCTGGGATAGGGTTTGTTGCATAAGGCCCGTAGAAACATCCATGAGCGAGGGGGATGCAGCATCTCCGATCCCCCGGTACTCCAGGCCTCAGCCTGGCTGCTGTCCCCCGTGCCATCCTTAGTCCCAGCCCTCCGTCCCCGCCAGCAGTGCTTGACAATGGAAATGGCATTGGAACCAAAGATTTTGTTTTCAGTGAGAAAGCTCCAACAGGCAAGCGTCGAGGCCTTGGGAAGGGGTGGGCATAGAAGGGGCCACCATGTCGGAAGGGGAACAGGCATGCTTTGGGTGTGTTTCATGCGTCCCATGACTGATTTCCCATGAGCAGGGAGCAGCTTTTTCACAGTGGTCTTTTAAAATGCGAGGACGCGTAGAGGGTGAAGAATTGGTGGTCCCGGGACCTACTGGGAAAGATGCATCCCCATCTGGCTCGGGCTCTTCGTCTGACAGGAGGAACCTAACGGGGCTTCTGTAGTTTCCGGGTGGGGGGTAGATTCTGCAGTTTCGTCTGTGCTCGCACCAAAACAGACTGTCTCACTGAGCTACATCATTTGTCACAGACAAAGAAGCTGGCTCAGATTGCTCACCTGACCTGAGATCTGTGAGCATGAGCCAAGATGGAATCACTCTCGTCCTGGCTCAGTGCCCGACCGTCCTGCAATCATGTTGATTTGGGGACACCTACCAGCATCCCCACGATGGTCTTAGTTAGGTCCTCTCAGCTGACAGCACTTTGTAACACGATCTTGGGGAACTGGGGACCATCACAGAGCCCTCAGGAATAGAGCGCATTCATCATCGGCATATATTAACAGAGCAAATACTTACTAGGTGCAAGCAGATCTGACGACTGGGGATGACACTGACAACTTTCCTGTCGACAACAGCCGGAGACTAACGCATGAAGCAGTCAGGGAAGGCTTTCAGGAGAGGTGTACACTGATGCATGAGCCAGGAGGAGCCACAAGCTGTGGTGTGATATGCGAACCACAGGAGTCAGAAGAGCAGGAGGGAGGAGAAACCTGGAGTCCGGATGCGCAGAGGCCCAAGATTAAAGAGGCCGGCCAGCGTTTAGGACTCCCCGGTTGCTCGATGAGTGTCGTCATGTATGGCCATTCCTGGAGCATCTGCAGGCCGGTGTCTCTAGGGCTCTCCTCTCTGCCTCTGAACTGCTGCAGTTCCTGAGAGAGCAGCCCCTCCAGGCCGCATGTAGCCATTCATGTGCCTTCCCAGCTACTGCGAGGGAGAGGGTTTGGGCGGCCTGTCCTTTGAATGTCGTTGCTGTGTGAGCCTCCCACCAACTGGTGGTCTCATCCCCACATCTGATGGCACCTGTGCTTGATACCGCTTGGGTCAAGGACTGCAAACCCTTCTCCTGAATGTCTACAGAACGTCTCTACGGGCACGTGCGCAGAGCGCTCACCAGGAGATACCATGAGACACCTCCCTGCCTCTCCTCCTCCCTCCCTCTCTCCCCTCCCTCCCTACTCCCCTCCCTCCTCTCCCCTCCCTCCCTCTCCCCTCCTCCCTCGCTCCCTCGACCCTTCGCCTCCCCTTCGCTCCCTCCCCCCTCCCCCTCTTCTCCCTCCTTCTCCCTTTTCTTCTTTCCGTTCTCTCCGCTCGGCCTTGCACTCTCTTCCTCCCATCCTTCCTCTTCTCCCCTTCCCTCCCTCCCCTCCCCCTCTTCCTCCTCCTGTCCCTCCCTCCCTTCCCCCTCGCCTCCCTCCCCCTCGCCCCTCTCCTCCTCCCTCCTTTCCTCCCCTCACGCTCCGCCCTCGTCCTCCCTCCTTCCCTCACCCTCCTCCCCCTCTTCGTCCCCTCCCTCGCCTCCCTCCCTTTCGCTCCTTCGCTTCTGCTTCTCCTCCATGCTTTCCTTCTCCCCTTCCTCTCTTCTTTCCTTCCCTCCATCCTTTCTTTCTTCCTCTTTGATCTCGTTTTGTCAGTGGCCTCCAGTCTGGCTCTTCTTCTTTGCGGGAATGTTGATGACCTCTTTTCACTTGTTTTTATTTCGCACATGTGTACCAGCCACCATGAGTGATGGAATATGGAGGAAAAGGGAGGGGTCGAGGAGTCCCTTTGCCCACTGGCTTCATCGTTTGTCTGGCCCTCTACGATGGGAGGCGTCCAGCCGTCGCCTCAGAGAGTCCTCTGCGAGACAGAGGAGGGTTCTCTGAGGCTGCAGGAGGTTCCATAGCATGAGCCCGGACACGGCTTTCCTAGCTCTCGGGCGCTGCTGCGTGCGTGGTTACCTGTTGCGGTGGCCGCCTGTGCATTGCAGGATGTCTAGCGGCACCCCAATGTTAAACCATGAGAACTAATGATGACCCAGGACAGTGCCAGGTGATTCCTGGACTACAAATCGCCACCGGCTGAGAACTGCTGTCCTCTGTGTGCAGGAGGCCCTGCAGTCCCCGTGGTCCAGTGGTCGTCTGGACTTGTGCCGCTCAGCAGGCTCGGCGTGACTCAGGCTGTGGGCCAGCCGCACATTGTGGAGCAGATCCACCGGCCCAGACCCAGGAGAGATTTGCCCCGTAGCAGCAGGCATGAGGCAGCCCCCCCCACTCCCGGCCAGGACTGTCATCGCCCAGGAGGCCTGTCCTCGGTGTCCTGGGAGCGGTGTCACCCCCTCTGATTACTCAGAAGGGCAGCGGAGGTGCAGAGAAGCCTCCGGAAGCCTCTGGGGGCTCGCTGCTCTGTGTCCTGTGGCAGCATCAGCCCTGGCGTGGGAGGGTGGGCTCGTGAGGGCTTTCCCAGAGATGCCGGGACAGGCGGGAGTGTGAGTGTTCCCAGCCATCAGGTCTCGCAGAGGAGCACGTGGTCCCAGGGGAGGCCGGGTTGGAGCCGAGCGGGCTGTTAAGAAAGCTCTCCTCTGTGGCTCCCTGAACGGTGGTGGGTATGGCCTGACCTTGACTTCCCGTACACTTTCTTTTTTTTTTTTTTTTTTCCTGGTTCTTGGCTCTGGAAAAAGTGGAAAAACATATACAGTGACCATACTGCTGACGTCTCGGTCAGAGAGGAGGAACGATTTCACAGTAGCGGGAGGAAGGCGCCGGGTGGCCGTGTGGCTCATAAATCACGCCCACGTTTATGCATTTGTGGGTGTGGTCTGTGGAGATGTTTCCTTTCTCACGAAGAGAATTTAAGCTCTAGACACTCTGACAAGAGGCTCCTCTAAATGGAGCTTTTCTCTCCTGCCTGCTAAGTGGCAGCTTTCAGAAAAGCGTTTGTTTAATGCAACCTGAGTCACCTTTCCCCTCTCTGCTGGGTGGGCAGGAGCAGGGCACACAGGGGTTGGGGGGCTGTCCCCTCTGAGACCCGACCCCTGGCGAAGGCAAGCAGGGTTTCCTTGCAGAAGAGTTCATGGAATTAAGAGACAAGTAGAGATGTCTTCCTGGGGGTGTTCATGGCACCCCCAGCATCCAGGGCAGTGGCAGGCACAGCGTAGGGACTTGGCAGAGGCACTGAACAAGCGACTTCTTGTTCCCAATGGGCAGGGATGGTTGACTTCTGTGTGCGGAACATTCCCATCACCCATCCGGCAGCCACGGGCTCCTACCCCTTCCCCGTCATTCCCTCTGAGTCGAGCTCGCAGTCACTAGGCCGGGAAATGGCTGCTGAATAAACTATCGATCCAACAGCACGTTTTCCAACATCCATCAAGTGTAAGACCTAGAAAGTATACAGGCTTTGGGGAGGGGAAGGAGGTTCTGTTAGGAAGAAGGGCACATGTGTGGCACACCTGCCCTCCCATGCTCCCAGCAGCCCCTGCTAAACCATCCCTGTACATGGAGCGTCAGACGCTGGCTGAGAGGGCGCTGAGCTTCGCCTCCTTGGGAATGACTTTCGGTGCATGGCTCTGGGAGGTAAGGGGCCACCCACGTGACCAGCCAGAAGGTGGAGGCCCAGCGTGGATGGAGTGATATCGTATGGTCTGACTTGATGTGACCACAGCAAAGTTTTCCTCCGTATCTCCCTAAATCTACCCAGTTCTCCAACCCAAACCTTCTGCACTCTCTTACCTTATTCCTCAGCCAGCAAGAGGAGTAGCTGGGACGGAGCGAGTTCCGGCCATGGGGGCCCTGCCCACACACTTTCGGAGAGCTTCCTCCCTTCTGGCATTTCTCTGACTTCTTTGGGGGAAAGGTTGACAAGGATCTCCAGCTACACATTCTGTCTTCTGTGAAAGTCACACGCAGCTCTGGAGACCGAAACAACCAGCTGCGTCCAGACTTGAAGGGCCCTTGACACCGAACAAGGGACACGAGCCCCGAAAGCGTCTGTGCCACCTCTCCTGTGGCAGATGGGTCCACGTAATTTACAAAAAACGCATCATTTTCATGGTAATGGCAAGACTGACCAAGAGCCTTTGAGGAAAGACTTCTCACCGAGGGGCTAAGGGCCTCCCCTCAGTAGGAAACAGCTCGAGTTTCCAACTTGATTCCAGACGGCTTGGGGTGATGCACGGGTCCCATTTTCAAGTGGCTTCTGTGGCACAGGCACAGTGCCCCATACATGGAGGGTGCTCACTAGCTATTCTTGTAAACCAGATAATACGAAGAACAAGGTATGCACCAGTGGCTCTGTCTTGGGCTCTTGTGAGGTGCCAGTGTCCGTGCCAAGCATTTTGCATGCTAAACACTTTACCTGTGAAGGCGGGACACAGTCCTACTCTCTGATGGTGACGACCAGATGCGCTCGAACTGTGGGCACAGGAGTGGACGTGGGCAGACATTTGCACAGCCCTCTGGAAGCTCACCTGGAATTAGGGAGACAAGATATTGAGAGCTGCACTTCAGATAAGGGTTAAACAGCATTTGATACAACAATAGAAGAGAGATTCAAGGCAGGGCATGATTAATTACCCGGCAGGTCGTAGGAATGATAAATGTTTTAGGAACTCAGAGGAGGAAGCCGTTTCTCTAAGCCAGGCAAAACAGACAGACACCAGGCGGGTAACTGTGCCCTTTCAAAGGGGGTCCCTGAGGCTGCTCTCTGAGAAGGTCATTATCACAGAGTGGGGGTTGGAAGGGTGCCCTTTGGCTTTTTTTTCTTTTTCTTTTCTTTTCTTTTCTTTTTCTTTTTTTTTTTTCTTTTTTCTTTTTTTTTTTTGAGACGGAGTCTCTCTCTGTTGCCCAGGCTGGAGTGCAATGGCAGGATCTTGGCTTACTGCAACCTCCATCCACCTCCCAGGTTCAAGCAATTCTCCTGCTTCAGCTTCCCAAGTAGCTGGGATTACAGGTGCTCACCACCACACCTGGCTAATTTTTGTATTATTTATTTTTTTTTTTAGTAGAGATGGGGTTTCACCATGGTGGTCAGGCTGGTCTCAAACTCCCAACCTCAGGTGATCCGCCCACCTCGGCCTCCCAAAGTGCTGGGATTACAGGCATGAGCCACCACGCCTGGCTGACATTTTTTCCTTTTAAAGGACTAGGCCAGTTTTCAGTTTTCAGTCGCCCACTTGCCACAGTCTACCTGCACTGGAGTGAGAGCATGCTCTCTATCCCCTTTCCCACCGTTTCAACCTCTCCAGGACAAGCCATCCCTCTGCAATCTCCCCTCCAGAGAGTGGTCCTGGAATTTGGTGTTCACATTATGTGAGAAAAGGCTGAAGACGCTGGCTTGGAGCCCCAAAAGCATCTGGGCCATCTCTCCCTTGGCAGATGGGTTCCACATAATTTTACAAAAACACATCATTTTCGTGGTAGTAGTAAGACTGACAAGTGTTCAGATTTTGCCCAAAATTTTAAGAGGCTAGAGCTGAGAAGTTCCTTTGAAGCTCTCAGAGCCCAGAATTGTGTTCATTTGGGTATCTATTTAGAAAACAGCCATTTCATCACAGCTCGTAACGTAAATTGCTTCATGGATGCCCGAGGCTTTATCTCATTAAATCGTGTCGCTATCTGTAAATGGTGTTCAGGCTGTTTCTCTGTGAGCAAGGTTATCTGACTGTTTAGAAACTCCAACTCTGGATGGTGAGATGCTGCTATCTGCAGACTTGGGAGAGACAACGGGCATTTCCCAAAATGCAAACAATCTCAAAAAGCTCACAGGCCTGGAAGGGCATCGACGGGGCGGGTGCGCCGCGGCCCAGCCTCATGGGGCCTGCTCTGGGCTCTGGCTGTCCCCGGCAGTGAGAAAGCAGGTGGCTGATGATCAACCACAGAGCTATTATCTGCAGAGGCTGGCTGGTGACATCACGGCTGGGGAGGGGCTTCTGGAGGCAGAAGAGGCCCACAGAAAAGTGTGTTGGTGACTGAACTAGACACAGTGGCTCTAAACTCTCTCTTCCTCTTTCCCCCTCAAGCCGAACTCAAATTTCCCATGAATAAACCAACATCTGCAAAAGCGCATCCTTGTCGCCAATGTTGAGAGCAAGTCAGTGATCCTGGCGCCCCTGCCCGAGCTGTGAAGCAGCTTTAGAAGGTGGCCAGGGAGTCCTGGCCAGGGCAGGTCTATGGAGGAGACAAGAGCCAGGCTTGGGGTCAGAGTTCCGGTCAAGTCCTGCCTATACCACTGGACTCTGAACGAGTTACTCAGCCTCTCTATCTCAGTTTCTTCTCCTGTAAAATGGGCTTGCAAATGAGGGCAAAATCGAATGATGCATTCCAGGAGTTAGAAAGTCCAGGCTCTGGGCAGGAGAGCCATGGGTGGGGTGGCGTCTGCAGGATGAGACCCTCTCACTCAGGGAGGCTTCAGCCTTGCTGGGATGGCAGCCACTGTTCGACTGAACCCCCTCTAATTTTTGTCCAAAACATCCAAACATTTGGGCCACAGTGTTCTTTCCCAAAGCCCTGCCAAGGCAGGCAGAGGGCAGCTGCTACAGAAGGGAGTGGCATGGGCCAGCTTGCCTAGGAGTTGGAGGAGGGCAGCAGGGGGCAGAGATGGGGAAGGCTGGGGTGCCTACGGGCTTCCTGGGTCTGGCCAGGGCCTTGGCTTGCTCCCTGAACATGGCCCAGCAGAATTTCCAGGCTGGACACGATGACAAAGCCCAGAGGTAGCAACAGCCTGGTGTTTGCCGCCCAGCCAGGAGCCGCGGTGGGAGGCAGGGGAGGGGGGGAAGGGGGTTGGGGAGTCTGTTGTTCTTTTAAATTATAAATAAGTTCCATATGTTGATGGTCCCCAAGGAAGGGGCCTCGGCATTGAAGGCCCTGGCAGCCACGTGAAGACAGGCTCTCTGGAGGAGAGTCTTAGGCAGAGCAAGGCACCAAGTATTTCATCAGTCGTCTGAGTTATTAGAGGAAAACAATATCCCGTGAGCCCCTGGCACACAACGCTGTCAGGACATGAAGCTGGAAGGAAGGGAGAAGAGAGCCTTCCAGAAACCCTAGACAGGATGCTCCCCAGTGATGAGGCTGGAGAGAGAGAGAGAAGTTCCCAGAAACAGGAACAATAGTGGCTGCTCCACAGCCCCCAAGGCCCTTTGCCCCACTGGCCACCGTCATGAGACTGGGGCACTTTCAGTGGCTGCCACTCCTTCTCCCCTCCTGCCAGGATAGAGCCCAAACCCCTTATCTGGCCCCTGAAGCCCTTCAATAGGGAGGGAAGAACCGCAGTGAGAGGAGATGGCTCTAGAGCTGAGATGCCCGGGAGGACGCCGGCTCAGGGAGCTGCTGGGCAGCTGCTTCCCCTCCAGGGCACCCACTTCTTCAGCCACGTGGGCATCATGGTTCCCACTGAGTCCTTGTCATGGGCACTGAGTGGCAGGACCCCCACAGCTTGTAGAATGCTGTCTGGCATATATAAGTGCTCATCACCACACAGTGAGTGCTCTTTAGCGCGGGCTTCTGGGAGTCCCTTTCTAGGCTTTTCTGCATGCCCAGTGAGGCCGTATGCACAGATTGCCTCTGTTGGCAAGTTCATAAAGATATCACAAACCACATTCTGAGGATGTGCCAGGCAGGGGGCAAACACACAACAGATGTCACCTGGTGTCATTCCTTCGCAGGGCAGGCCCCCTTTCACTCGTCAGAAAACAGGATCCAGCAGTGGAAGCAGCTTGAGCAAGGCCACATGGCCAGAAAGCTGTGAAGCCAAGATTCGAACCCAAGTCTAAATTCACTTCCCTTTTTCACCTCCTCCCGTTGCCCCCTCACCACTGCCATACCCATGATTTCCTCACCCACTCAACTGTCCTGGCCCACTCCAAGGCCACCTGCACCTGAACCGTCTTGGTTCACCCAACTGGACCTGGGTGTCGTTCTTCAGCTCCTCCACGGGCCCCGCCCTCCTCCATCTTGCACCACGGTCTCCTGGCGCTGTGTCTGGCTTCCTTCCAAGAAAGGGACCCAGTGGCAGGTCGCTGGCACCCAACCCGTACTGTTTAGTGGAGTTAGGATTATTACGTGAGCCTCGTGGTCTCAGGTGGGCCTCACTCTGCTGTCATCCATGGGTCCCACAGACTCTTCCAGAAGAGCCCCGTCCACAGAGGCAGCAGGTCTGAAGAAGCCCAGTTCTTAGCATGAGCCAGGGCGGTCAAGGTGAGAAGCCCTTATGGGCCCACACGTCTTATTTCCTTAGACTTTCTTGGACTCTAGGAAGAGGAAGGAAGGAAAGGGAGAAAAAGAGATGCAAGGAGAAGAGAGAACAAAAGAAGGAGGAAGAAGATGAGGGAGAGCAGGCGCAGGGCGAAGGCATGGAAGGAGGGAGTGGGAACAAGACAGGAGGAAACAGGGTGAGACGCAAAGCAGCCTGATCAGCTCGTGCTGCCCCCAGGACACCCAGATCTGATGCCAAGCTGCAGCCAGCCTGGAGCGGGAAGCCTGGGGGCTCTAGCTTGACTACAGACGAAAAAATCACCGCAAGTTCTCAGTCAAGGAGGGCACCGAGCCACGAGGGGTATGCATGGCAGGGAGGCTCAAGCCAGTGTGTGGCTTCCTCACGCAGCACTGCAAGGACACGTGGAGCATTGATTACCAGCACGGCATTCCCGATCAGAAACAGCCCATGCCCGATCCTCTCAGAGTTCCTGCCTGTAATAGCAGGATTTCTTCCACTGTCGTCAATGGTAACAAACTGATCTATAAAAGGTTTTTAAAGTGCTGCAAATAGCTCCTCCAGTCCTCTAAACTCAAGCTCATTGGGGGAAATGGCTGCCTTGATTGCTCCCTGCACAGCTGGGTGTCTGGATGTGATGGACAGAGTGAGCTCACTTCAGGGCTTTTAGGGCAGCTGGGTACCTCCAGAATGGGGTGGAGAGCCCCCTGGGCTAGGGCTGCCTGGCCACTGTCCCTCTGCCCTTCACCTCCTTCCTCTCTGGGGTGTGACAAGGGCCAGACAAGCAAGGCATCATATTTAAGGTGGCACTCACTCACAAGGGGTGCCAGCACAGGGTTGGTCTCTGAAGGTGAGCACCGCCTTAAATCAGTACCCTGGACATCTCACTTGAGTGTGAGAGAAGGAACACACGGCTCCGCCACTTTCCACATCCATAAAATGGGCCCATCTCGGCAGCTATTTATTGACCCTGTTCCAGGTGCTGGCTTTCCAAAGGCAGGAAGTGCGTCTGTACTAAGCGTTCACAGACCCGTGGGACAGGGAGAGGGAGGGAGGGACCCTGGCCAGACACCACTGTTCTGCATGTGAATTCCAGTTTTACAGGTGCAATGACTCTGCCAGGTGCCCAGGGACTCAGGCTGGTGCCAACATCTGCAGAGCATGTGGGAAGGGTGGGAAACTGTGTCCCAGCAGTGACAAAAAATGCAGAGACATGGGCCGAGGGGAAGCCAGTGAGGCCGGGCTACCGAGGGGGAGGGCAGGGCAGGTCACGCCACCCAGGAAAGTGGGCCTGCCTTGGGTCACACTGAGACGTGCAACTCAGGGACCCCTCTCTGCTGTCACCCTTAGGGCTCACACCCACTAGGCCACTTCCCAAACAACCTGTGATCTGGACAATTCTGAGCTGTGCCTCATCCAAATGTACCCGTCCCACGTCACCAGGTGCCTAGTCTCTTGCTAAGTACTGGCAACACGTTTTTATCCACACTCAAGAGTCATTATGCTGCTACTATTTCTTCGAGAAAACATAGGCCCGTTTTCAACAGGGCAGGTTTTCTGCCTGCTCTCTCGTCTCCAAAGGAGGCCCCTAATGATGGAGCCCAGAGGGCTCACATTTACCACGATCTTCCCAGTCCCTGGCCCTCACGGATATTGCCAAACTTGCTCTCCTTTTCCGAGCTGGGCTCTGTCTTGCTGGTGGGCACATTGACACCAGGTGACAGATAACAGGCTTGCATGTGGAATCAAACCTTCCTGCTTTCTGAGGATGGACGAGAGTCTGGGGCTGGTGCTCCATGACATCTTCCTCTGGAAGCTTCTGGGCTGTATCTAGAAGAGCAACCCATCAGGGAGGAGAGGATCAGGGTCCACCCTCTGGGTCACAGCCCAAGGGCTCATCTCTGCAGCGCTTGTCTCACCACCTCCCCTTGCTCTCCAGCCCCGCTGGCCTCCCTGGACTCTGGAAGCACGTTCCCGCCCCAGAGCCTCGGCACAGATGCACCCTCGACCCAGATGCCGTCTTTCAGCAGCTCTCCCACTTGCTGCTTCTTGCACCATTGCACCGACTTCTCTGCCTTGCTGTTCACTCAACATGCATCTGCTGAGTGGTGATCGGGGCAACTTTTCCCAGAAAGAGCCTCCAGAGGCTCAGGCCTCAAGCAAGGCCCGAGAGCCCCCACTGCTCACATCTGGGGGCCTTCAGTCAACATGCGTCTGCTGAGCATCTACTGTATGCAAGCCCTGTACTCAACACAGAGGTGCAGCAAGATCAGCGTGGCTCTGACCGTATGGGGTTCGCACACAGTACACAGATAAGTGTGGCTGATCATTCCAGGCAGTCCTAGTAGCTATGAAAACATGTGGAGCACGACGGTCCCTCACTGTTGGCTCTGTTCCTTATTATTTATTCATTTCTGTTTGCTGTCCCCCGTCCCCCTGGACCATCAGCTTCATGAGGTCGGGGGTTGGTGCTGACATTTTCTCCCTAGAAGCTTCCGGACCATACCCAGAAGAGCAACCCATTGTGGAGCATGGCTGTCTGTCCTGGGGATGGGGGCAACTTTTCCCAGAAAGAGCCTCCCAGAGGCGCAGGCCTTGAGCAAGACCCGAGAGCCCCCACTGCCCACATCTGGGGAGCACCCCACAGAATGGACTGGTAATGGCCTGCAGTCCACGGAGCTTCTGTGCTGGGGACACATCTGTCTGCCCTCTGATCCCCGGGTTCCAGCTGGGGACAGCATTCACCGGCTCTTCCAGTCTATCCCTTTCCCATCCCCCTCAAGGAAAGGAGAGTTTATTTCCACAATGGCCCTAAGCATAGGTGTGGGTGACTCAGAGCGGGCGGATGAGAACAGGAGGCCAGCAGGGATTCTGGCTGAGCGCGGCCCCCGCAGTCTGCAGCTCAGCCAGTGACTCATTCCAGACGCGGTGTGAGTCAGCGGCTCTGCGGCTCCGGCCAGCTCTGACGCCCTCTGCACACTGATGAGACCCCAGCAGGACAGAGCACGTGGAGGAGGGGGCGCTCAGGCAGAGAGCACGGGAGGGCACACATTCCCCTTCAATGCACACATGTGTGTGCACACAGTTCACACAAATCACACACTATCACACTCTTACACAGGTACACACACACCCCTTCCCATGCACACATGCATGTGCACACGGTATACACACACCACACACTATCACACAAACTTGTGCACACATGCACACACACACCCTCCAATGCACACACTCATGCACATGGTTCACACACCACACACTATCACACACACTTGTACATACATGCACACACACCCTCCAATGCATACACATACGTGCACACAATATACACACATCACACTCTACCACACACTCGTACACACACCCTCCTACGCACAAGATTCTCAGACGCATCACACACACACCCATAAACACACATCACGCACACTCATACACATGTTCGTGTCCACATTCACGCACACACTTGCATACACACACAGCCACACCCACACTTACTATATACGCATTCTCACACGCCTACACAGCCCCTCCCTCTTTCCTTCCCTCCTTCCTTTCTTCTCTCTCTCTCCGCACGCCTTCCTCCTTTCCTTCCTGGTTAAGATCATGGGCTTCAGACCAAGGTCTTCCTACTCCAGCCCCACCAGCCAGCGGTGTGATCACGGACGCGTCGCTGTGCAGCTGGCTGCCCTAACCCTCATCTGCGAGACGGGGAGACTATGAATGCCACTTCCTAGCATGAGCCTCCGTGTGAAGTGTGATCGCAGCTGGGCACAGCACAGTGCGCAGTGTTGGCTCCTGCGGTCAGGATCAGTCATTGAGCTGTGCATCCGACGAACGTCTGCACGGTGCCCAGTCTGAGCTGCACAATCCTCCTCTTTGTAGACCCAGAGTCTGGGAGTAGAGACCACAGGTACACAGATGAGTTACACTCCAGGCAGCAAGTGAGCCACCGAGCTGGCACCAAGTGGGGTCGGCATGGGAGGCACAGCGGGCTTGGGTTTGGGGGAAGAAAACCATGGGGTAATATGGAGGGAGGGTTGGCAATGGGAACACAGTCGTTCAGCTTTCTAGTTACTTCTGCCAACAGTTCAGGGAGCGGGGTCAGCAGGGATCTGAGAGCCGGGGAGTGGCCTTCAGCCAGAGGTGACCAGTGCGGAGTGGGAAGAACCTCTCAGAGGTTTTTTGTTAACCTGCTGGTGGAGAAGGATGTCTTCTTGTATTAACAATGCTCTTTCGGTTTTCAAGAGCAGAAACCCACTTCAGTGTGGCTCCAGGAAAAAGTGAGATTTTATTGACTCATGAAAGTACGTATCTGCGGTGATAGGGTGGATTTCACCCAAGGCAAGACCCAGGAACATCAGAGCTGCCAGCCCGGCTCTAGGTCTTGCTCTACTCTGAGCTCTGGTTTCCTCCGTATCGGCTTCATTCCCAGGCAGGCTCCCCCTATATGGAGGCTCATGATGAGTCCCGACTTGCAGCCACCCCGGCCCCACAGAAAAAGCTTGTTTCCCTACAGTCCTTTCCAAAGCTGTACCACATCTTCTTAACCTACTGGCTCATGTGCCCATTTCTAAGTCAGACCTAGTGGCCAGAGGATAGAATGCTCTAATCAGTTCTGGGTCATGGGCTTCACACAGACATCATGGATTGAAGGCTGGGGAAGAGTAGCCCCTAAGGAAAGCCGAAGCACTGCTATCAGAAGAAGTGGGATGGACACAGGGCTGTTGGAACAGCACAGTCCACCTTCTCCAGTAGCAGGGACAGGGAAGCCTGCTCTCTAAGAGACAGAGAGAGTTGGTTTCTGTCCCAGGGGAAGGCTTGGCGTCTGCACCTTCAATTCCCCAGCTGCAAAGCATCCAAGGCATGGCCCCTGCTTGAGAAAATGCTTGATGCTACTCTCACCACCAGCTTGGCTCTCCCAACCAGCCCTGAGACCTCAGACAAGTCCCCAAGCCTCTCTGTGCCTCAGTTTCCTCACCTGCAAAATGGAAATTGTGACAGTACTTATTCAAACAGTTCTTTCCAACATTAAATAAACCAGTCCATACAAAGCTGCTGTATATTAAGTGCTCACCACACCATCAGTGAAACGCTCAGGAAATTACTATTACGATGATGATAATTATTTTTACTGTTGCCCATCCTTTAGGTCTTGGCAAAAATGTGGCTGCCTGCAACCATCTTGTCTAAAGTGAGTGGTTTGTGATTGCCTCCCGTCACGTTCTTTTCTTCCCTTCACGGCTCTTGGCACGTTTGTAATGATATATTTACATGTGCAATTCTTTTACTTCATGTGTTTCCTCCACCAGACTGTGAGCCTCGAGGGGATGGGAGCTGAAGTGTGCTCCTCACGGCAAGCTCAGGGCCCATGCAGCCCCAGCGAGCGGCAGGAATCAATAAATACCGAATGAAAATAGTCCTTGGATGATCGAATGGCTTTTGATCTGGTTTGATCAGGCAGCTGTGCCTGGCTGCACCGTGGCTGCGCCTGGCCCCTGCCGAGTGCCGCCAGCCGCGCCTGTGCTAAGGGATGGGGCTGTCGGAGGAACCCAGAGGCTGCAGGAAGGCCCTTGCTGAGAGGCTGGGAGGCTCTGGCCCACCGCTGACCACACACACGTCCGGCCTGCAGGAGCAGGGACAGACTCAGACCGCAGAAGGCAGCCGCTCACCCTCCCTGTCCTCCTGTCTGAACTTCATGGGGAAAGCCAGGGCAGCGTGAGCCTGTCTGGCAGCAAGGGGTTGGGTCAGGCGAGTCCAAAGCTGCTTCTGTCCTGGGGGTCTGCTGGGATACACCCCAGGCCCTTTGTCCTGGGACGCGACACCCTTCGGAGCTTCCCTGTCCAGTTCCTTCTGCCTCTGCCTCTCTCCCAGTGATGCCTCCGAGCCTGGGCAGAGTGGCCCTGGGCTGCTCCTGCTGTTGGCTCCAGCACTGGCAGGGGCTACTCTGAAGTCCAGGGTAGGCACCCCAGCTACAGTCCACAGAGAGCAAAATGCCCAGCAACCAAGGCAGGGCAGCACGTGCCTCAGCATGGGAACGCCAACCGCGCATCGACTCCGGTACGCAGTCCACGTTGGGACAAGCTGGGCTGGATCTTGAAATATAATGAGTGAGCCAGGCCGGTCCCACTTCTCCGCCTAATGCCTCTGGAGCCAGCTCTGCGGCTGAAGACCTCCTGCAGCGACCTTCATTTTCATACCTCCCAAAGGGCAGAACTGTTTTTCTTTGCTGATTTGTTCAAGGCACCATTTTCGAAAACATCTAGTTTAGGTAAAAAAGTAAAAACAATGCCTCCTCACATCCGCAACGCAAAATCAACAAACACTTCTCTCAAGAGTCTGAACAGACACAAGTATGTAAGGATCCAGAAAACATATCAGCTATTAGCTAAAGCCTGAAAGGCAGAAAGCAGATGACGCGGTGGGGGGTGAGGGAGGAGGGGAGATACCTGTGCAGCTATCACAGACACTTTACGTAAAGCCGGGCACTTGGCAGGAACCCAAATGGTGACCACGGATGATACCATATGCTTTGGCCAAACTCTGAGTCCCCCGGGGCAGGAATTGTCCTCTGAAGGAAAGACCTTGAACAAAACAATTGCCACATACAAGAGCGTTTGTTGTAAGGAATCTAGAAGCCCCACTGAACAGAAACCTAATTGTGGGGGTCGAGGTAAGGGGATGGGCAGTCATCTGCATAGAACTGTTCTCTCAGCAGTGAAGAAGCTTCTATTACCAAGAAGGAAAACATCAAGATCTTAACACACAACAGAGCCTAGTGCTGTTTGGACAAACCTGACCGAGCCCAAAAGAGGATTTTCCATATGAGT